AATACACACACATTTTACCTTAAGAGGTGCCTCTTTAATTTCTGAGGGTTCGGGGGCTGACTCATCCGTGTGAACTTTGGGGACAAAAGCCTAATTCAGGATATATGTCTTTTCCAGAGACACAATTCCTTACAGGAGAAAAGAAAATTAGAAGGGAGCACTCAGAAAGGACTGTACCAACAGCCTAAAGGGGCACCACTTGCTTTAAATGCCTTCTTGCAAGGGAAGTTCTAAACAATAGGGACCTTAGGCCTCAGCCTGCCCCTTTAAAGTCTTGGCTCTCTATCTTTGGGAAGATGCTCTGGGATGTTTAGAGTAAGCTGAGTATGGAAAAGGCGCGTGTTGCCAGAGCTAAGGGCAAGTGCCAGAACCCTTCACCAGGCCAAGTTTTTGCAAAACAAAAGTGCTGTTGCCTCAAAAAGCAAGTATCTGAACTAACTTAGGGATGTCACAGGACAAGTATAAATATCAGTAGTAGTCCACTAAAATACCCATAACTATCCCTTTACCTTTTCCTATTAATAGATGATTAATTGTTGCTGTACCAAAGGAGGGTTTTTTTTTTTATGGCTACTATATTACAACTCTAGACTTCCTCTGTGCAATTTCTCTCAGCAAGCCCCAACTGTAATAACTGTTTGCTAATTGTAAAATCCTTATCCAGAATGAGGTTTGGGCAAACAATTTGTACTACTGTAATTACATTGTAAAAGTGTTTTAGTCCCTTGATTGTTCAGAATTAATCTTATAAAGACCTCGAAGTAGCATTAGGTTTGCAGTTATAAATGGTAAGGGAGGGGGGCTATGGGAGGGGAAAAAAGAAGACCCTTTTTCAAAACTCCCAAGAGTCTGTTTAAGCTCACAAACTCCAAACTATCCCTTTCTTTAAGGAAAACCTATGTGTAGGTCATTTAAAGTACTTGCAAGGTAACCTGACACATCATGGTTGGAGCACACAATAGTTTTCCTACCGCCTTGAAGTTTTTGGCTATGTTTAAAAAGGAGTGACTTACCTGAACCTGCTTTTTCCCTCTCTGCTAGAAAACAAACTTACCCGAAAGCAACAATACAGAATAAATTCTGTTGTCAACGAAACCTTCATCGAAACTGGCCTTTTCCAGGTTTGAAAACATAGCCGCAGACTTGAGGTACCTCCAAGCCGGTTACCCTAAGCCTTTGCTGGAGAACCCCCAAGGACTCCTAAAAGACCATGATCATCGAAATGTATTTCGCAGTAAATTTCTCTCGGTTAAATGATACTTACACAATTTCCCTCGCAGTTCATTTAAGGATCATACACGTAGATGTGCCCAAGTCGATGTTTGGCTCAACACCCCCCTCCTCGCGCTCCCCCCCCCGCCCCCGCCACCACCACCCCTGCAGCCAGCCGAGCTGGAGCCTGGCGGGCCTGTGGACCTGCGGTGCCCACACCCCCGCGCAGCCGAGGGAAGGCGCCCAGGTGAGGGGCTCGGGGGAGGCTGCGGGCTCGGGCCCAGCGTGGTCCTCCCGGTAACCGGGGAAAGCCCTGCGGTGCTCGGCCCAGCCAGCGCAGCTTCCCGGAGAATGAGACAAATAGCCTTCCGGAGACCGAGAAGGTTCCATCTAGGCCTGAAGTTGGGTTTCCAAGTTCACCTTGGGGCGGGAGGGGTGGGGGTGGGGAGGGGGTGTCAGGCAGTGGGGCGTAAGGAAGCTGGCAATTCACCTGGATTCGCCCTCGGCTTTGACGTGCGGGCCTGCCTCAACCTCCCGCGCGATGCACCGGGGCGCGCGTACCCCCAAACTGCGCATGTTTGCGATGGAGAAAAGTTAAAGATCCTAAAATGTGTGTGTGTGTGGGGGGGAGACAGAGAGAGAGAGAAGAGAAGAGAAGAGAAGAGAAGAGAAGAGAAGAGAAGAGAAGAGAAGAGAAGAGAAGAGAAGAGAAGAGAAGAGAAGAGAAAATGATGAGGATCCCGGGATATTTTTTTTAAGCAGTCGGAGCAGTCTCAAGCAAGGCAAAGCGCATGGGAAGGCTTTGGGTGAAGGTGTCATCCCTTAGGCACCCTGGGGCAGGACAGGGTCTGCACGGGGGGTGGGGGGGGTGGGGGGGGCTGGTGGCGAAGGCTCGGCTGCAGCTCGGCTTTCTGAGCCCTCCACTTTGGGGGGGAACTGGGCGTGGACTCGTGCCGAGTGCTGGAGGCCGTGCGCGCCGGAGGGAGCCGGGCTCCAGATGCAGGTCCTGAGGGTCGCCCTACACGGTGGCCCTCGCTGCTCGAAAGCCCACTGAGCAGAAACTTGAGCCCTACCTCTCGGACGGATGCGATCTGCCCTTTAGTTTGCACGTTAAGGAGTTAGCCTCCGCACCTTTGGGAGCCCCTGATCTTTTCCAAACAACCCCTGCGGAGGACAGGAGCGCCCCTCGTCTTTCTCAAAACTCTTCCTCCCAGCTACCCGCCCCCCTCCTTTTAGGATGAGGGTTCTCGGTCCGCGGCCGGGCGGAGTGGGATGGGGGTGGGGGCGACGGGAGCGAGGGGCCGGCTGCTTTGGGGTGGGGTGGTGGTGGGGTGCGGGGAGGGGGGGAGTCAGCCTTTTGGCCACCACCAGGGCGGGAATCGGGACCGGCAGTTTTGCTTTCCCGGCAGATCGAAGCTCCCTGCTGATCGATTATTTGATAATTGATTTTCCCCGCAGCCAATGCGCGGCCGCTCTGGCGGGGGCGCCTCCTGATTGGCCGGGCCCTCCTCCGCCGCTGCCTACCGAGATTTGGGTGAGCTCATTTTCCAGTCGACCGCAGGGGGAGTTTTCTGCGAGGCTTCAGCTGGAGGCAGGGAAAAAAAAAAAAAAAAATCCTGCTGGGAGCCGAGCGAGCTGCGAGCCTGGCTGGAGGATGTGAGGTTTCAGCCCCGCGGGTCGGGCCGCTGCGGCCGAGCCCTCGCGGCGTCTCGGAGCCCGGCGGGCAGACGAGCAAAAACGAAAATAACACCAGTAAATGTGATAATAAAGGGCAAGCCAAGAGGGGGAGTCGTCGGGAAGCCAGAGGACAGGCGTTTAAGGGGAGAAAGTTGAAAAATCAGGGGGCCGGTCGGAGCCTCCGAGGCGTGGGTAGGGACAGGTTTTTGTCTGCAATCTCAGCTCCCGAAGTGAATTTCTCTCTCTCGGTCCTTTTTTTTTTTTTTTTTTTTTTTTTTTTTTGTCGTTGGCACCGAGAGTTTTCCCGGAGTCCGGACGGTGCAGGGAGGCCGAGGGGTGTAGGGGTGCGGGGAGGGGAGCGCAGGGCGTCGCGGCGCACAGGGCCCGGGGCGCGGGGTCCCTCCAGGCCCGAGAAAACAAAGGCGACGCGGCCGAAGCCCGACCCCGCCGCGCCCCGGGCGCACGGCGGCCTCGCCCGCAGCGGGTCGGGGAGCCCGCGTCCCGGGGTGGGGGTGCGGGCGGGGGGGTCCCCGGCCCGGGGCCGCACCCGCGAGGTCGGGGGGGGCTGCCCCGAGCCCCGCGGCGGGCTCCGCTCTCCGGCGAGACGCCCAGTAGCTCGGTGTTTGTAAACAGGCGCTGGGGGCACCGTCCCCGCGCTCGGCTCATTGTTCCCTCCCTTCCTCTCCCACTTCGCGCAGGACGCCGGGGGCCCGGGGGGCCGGAGGCCGGGGAGCGGGAGGAGGAGGAGGAGGAGGAGGTCCAGACCCCAAAGTGAGAAAACGCAAGCATTTCCTTTCCCGGGGGCCTGGGGTGGGGTGGGGGGGGTGCACCCCTGACAGCGGCAGCTCCAGGCTGGGATCCGCAGGAAGCCCCAGCCTCCCCCCTCCGCCCCGCGATCTCGGGACTCCTGCTCTCATCCTTCCCTCCCTCCCTCTCTGTTTCCCCGTTTGCCTCCTTCTACGTGGGGTGGTCAGTTCCGAGAACGCACCCTTGCGTTGAGCTCACACATTCCCCCACCACCACCACCACCACCTCCAAAAACAAAAACAACAACAAACAAAAACAAAAAAACAAAAAGCAACACCCCACCAGCAGCGGACCCCCAGTAATTTGCAGGAAAGTCATGAACTCCGCGCGCCGAGAGCTCTGTGCAAAAGAACTCCCGCGGCTGCCCACCCCCCCCCCGCGCGCCCTCCTCCCCCCCACCCCGTGCTGATCCCCAATTTATTTCGAGAGAGTGGGGTGGGGGGTAGTGGAGGAGAGTCCCGAGTAGGGGTGGGGGGGAGAGAGGAGGACGGAGGGAGGGAGGGGGAGATTGCAAGGAACGCGGGGAATAAAGCCCGCGCCCCGGGGCGGGGGGGGGGCGGCTCTGCCCGCGCGTGTGCGCGTGTGCGCGTGTGCCCGGGGCGCGTGGGGGTTCGCGCCCGGGGCGCGCGGCTGCAGGGAGCGCCCGTGCGCCTGGGCGGCGCGGCCGGAGCCCGCCCGGCGCTCCCACCCCTGCCGAGCCGCCGACTTGCTGCAGCCCAATGCATTGTGTAAGACGCGACCTGTTATGGCCACCACTACTTCCGGGTTCTAGCATTCGGGTCGGAATCCACCTCTCCGCCTGTGCAACACACACTTTACACACGCACGGGGACTGCAAGCGGGCAGCATCGATCGTGGCTCCTTTAAGACAAACTCAGACAGACATTTTTTTTTTTAACCCTCCTCCTCTAATCTCCCTCCAGTGCAGCAGTTGCAAAGAGGGAGAGAGAGAGGGGAAAGAGAAAGAGCGAGCGAGAGAAGAGAGAAACTGATTAGGAATTAGGACCGATCCGAGGGAAGCGAGCGCTAGGGCTTTGTGCATTTGAATATTCACATTTGAGGTGTTCCGACCAGAAGAAGACAGAGCGGATGATCATTCATTCACCACGTTGACAACCTCGCCTGTGATTGACAGCCGGAGTGGCAGAAAGCCATGAGATTTGGTAGTTGGGTCTAAGGGGCGCTCTCTTTTTTTTTTTTTTTTTAACTGATTTTTTTTTTGGGGGGGGTGGAAGAGAAGATCTGCCTTTTTTTTTTTTTTTTTTTTTTTTTTTTTTGCCCCCGCTGCTGCTGCCGCTGCTGCTGCTGCTGCTGCTGCTGCTGCTGCTGTCTTGGAAACGGAGCGCTTTTATGCACAGTGACTCGGGCGCTTTGCTTCAGGTCCCGTAGACCGAAGATCGGGGACCAAGTAGCTCTCACGTTGCTGGAGACGTGAAGGGATTTTTTTTTTTCCGTCGTGCTTTAAAAAAAAAAAAAAGATTTTTTTTTTTGTCCTCTCTCTCTCTCTTTTTTTGTTTTTTGTTTTTGTTTTTTGTTTTTTGTTTTTTTTCCGGGGGAGTTTGCTTATTTGTTTCTTTTCACACTGGCCTTAAAGAGGATATATTAGAAGTTGAAGTAGGAAGGGAGCCAGGGAGGCCGATGGCGCAAAGGGTACGTATTAAACAACAATTGTGGAACTCAAATGTGAGATTAAATTGAAACGTGGCTGAAAGACACTGCTAAAAAGTTTCTTTTTATTCTCTCTCTCTCTCTCTCTCTCTCTCTGTCTGTCTTTTTGAATGAGGCTCCTAAAGCCGTGGCCTAAAGCGAGAGAATTTATTCAGTGCGTTTGTAGACTTATGTATGTTACATGTAATTAATTCAAGTAATCAAGTTTTCTATAGATTCCTAACCAGCAGCTATATAAATAGAAATGCAAGCTCGGGCAGTCATTCTGTTTAAAAAAACAAAAACAAAACGCGCTAGATACCTAGTGCTGTAATGTGAATGTTCAGGGAGAAGTTTAAGGCTATTTTTAAAGTAAATTAAGCAGCTAGAAACTTCTGATTTGTTATTGATTGTGCTCATCTCTTAATATCACTAGAAGCATGTAGCTTTTTTAAGCAAATGACTTTGTCATAGTACGATGGCTTTTGGGGTCGGAAAACATTCATCTCTGAAAAATGATTTTAACGTGCATGGATTTTTATAGAAGGTAATACTTTGAAAGTTTTTGTTACAAAAGCCCTGCACTAATTGGATACTAAGCACAGAGCTACTCACTTTAAAAATGCAATACTAATTTCCCCAATATTCCTATTTGAATGGAAATGTAGTGAGAGTAAAGTGAGACAATGACAACCCAACCGAGGTAGTCTCTTAAAAGAAAGGGGGGTCTACAAAAAGCCTTCCCTGCATAATTTGTGTCCTGGCCCTCAAAGCCCTGTTTGCAAAAGAAAGTTACTAGGCTGACACATTTTTCTTTACTGCTTTGGTTCAGGCAAATGTCAGCGTTCTTCCAAACTATTTTCACACCTCTGGCTTTAAGGAGATGAAAGTGGCAATTCCTCTTTTCTTTGAAAATCATTTCACTCTCGGCGCCTCCAAATCTTGGGAAAAGAACTCGCCCGGAATTGGAGCAATGAGAAGATTCTAAGTAGCTGAATTTTGCACGCAAAAGTAACGACAGTCAATATGAAAGTAGTTTTTCCGGGGGGAAAAGAAGATGGGGGTTGTGTGTGCGTTTGCTTTTGAATTTACTTTACACCTGATGAGTTACATTTGCCTCATTGACTTCTAGTCTGGGGGAAAAGTTCATAGGAGTAGAGAAAAATAGGACAACTAACTGTTCCAGCTATATAGATTTTCTTTCACATTGAGGGGGAATTGCCCAATTCTAAATTCAGCTCTAATGAACGTGAAAGAGCTACCTTTCTCTGAGTTTCACTTATAAAGGGGGCCAGTTAGTTTTGTATAATTTAGCAGAGTTTGTCTTGGAAAGCAAAGGAAATGCAGTGTCTTGCAGGACTGCCTAACCCCACGCTGGCAGAGAAATAAAATGAGAAGCCTGTCTGAATTCATGTGCTTAGCTTAGCTGTTCCCATCGTAACTTTTTTTTTTTTTAAATTCCCCCTGATGGGAAGGGGCTGTGAAACTAGGCGGGTTTGCTGCACTGTCCTGGCACGTTTTATTATTGTGATTTTGAATTTCCTCCTCTAGAGACATGCACGTTTTACCTTCCGCCCTCCGGGAGAATGCCTCCCTTTCTTTCCTTCTTTCTTCCTTCCTTCCTTGCCAGAGGATCCTGAATTTCTGAACTGGTTGATAGGGACACAAGTTAGGGCAAGACCGTTCATCCCGGCCGAGTCTCAGAGAGAATCCTAGAATTTTTACTTTAGAAATCATTTTTCCAGACAAGAAATCTCAACTTTAGAGATGCAAGGCCACTGAATTCCGGGTTGAAGGATCCAGCTGGACTGACATTATATAAGCTCGGTGCCCTGCCGTCTCCCCAGTAGCCCGCCTGGCCTTCTGAACCTTGTTTTCTCCTGTTTGTCATGCAGTACGACGATCTGCCCCATTATGGGGGCATGGATGGAGTGGGCATCCCCTCCACGATGTATGGGGACCCGCATGCGGCCAGGTCCATGCAGCCGGTCCACCACCTGAACCACGGGCCTCCTCTGCACTCGCATCAGTACCCGCACACAGCTCACACCAACGCCATGGCCCCCAGCATGGGTTCCTCCGTCAATGACGCTTTAAAGAGAGATAAAGATGCCATTTATGGGTAGGTACACCGGGCATCAGGTTAAGTAGTAGAGATGCGATGTTTCTCTCTCTCTCTCCTCTCTCTCTCTCTCTCTCTCTCCCCCTGTGCCTTTGGTAGGAGGGAAGCCAGGGCTCCGTGGGCTGGAGGCACACCATTTGGTAACTTTTCATTTGCATTGCATGGAGAATTTGGGGAGGCGGCCTGCCACCCCGGACGCCCCCCATCTCCACACACGCTCCGCGCCCGCCCAGCCCCGGTCGGAGCCCAGGCCGGGCCGGCCGAGGGGTCGCCCCTGCAGGAGAAGTTGCCAGAGGTCCCTCGTCCCCTCTCAGACCCGGGCTCTGCAGCTCAGCGGGCTGGCGCCCTCGCTTGCTCGACTTCGCTGGGAGAGCGTTGGGGATTTCTAAATGTAGGCGCCTTTGTGTTGGAACGAAACTTTTAGTTTAAGGGAAAATCTTTTAAGCCACTGATTGTTCTGACTTGCTAAGTTTACTCAGCAACCGTATGCTGGCTCTGCCGCCGCACAATAAAATCAGGGGAGGACAGTTGCAGGTCGGGCAAGGGGGAACAGGCTTTGCATTTAGGGAGTTTGACCACCGCGGGCGAGGAGAGAGCTCGCTCTGAATCGTTTGAGACGTGAAGAAACTTCTGGCCGGGTTTTTAGCACTTTGTGTTCAAAGGCGAGACCTGCAGGATTTGGGAGTAGGTGCGGGGCTGCTCTGGGGCCAGGGTTGTTTTCAGACTGTGCTTCCCCCCGGGCTCTCCCAGGCCAGTCGGTTAGACCCAGGGCTGGTAAAATCCGCGGAAAGTCGCTTGTGCCTGCCGAGTGCTCGTGAATTTGGGGACCTCGTTTTACTTTGCAGCCACTCTTATTTCTATTTATTTCTTCTTCTGAAAAAAAAAAAAAATCAGGCAACACTGACCCTCCCCGGCCGAAAAACCTTCCTGCTTTATCTCCCGGCCGGTCCCTTCCTCGTGCGATGGGCTTGTTTAAATCCCAGCGTTCTCTCCGCAGCAGCAGCAGCAGCTGCAGCCGCAGCCGCAGCGTTGACTGCAAATGGTTTAGGCTCCGGGACAGAACATTTGGGGACGCTTTGAAAAGGACCCCAAACCGTTAAATTCCCGGCTGGGCTGTGAGAGCTAATAAAAGACTTGAGACACCTCCTTGAGCATTAAAAGCAGCATTTTTTTCCTTTTCTTTCTTTCTTTCTTCTTCTTTTTTTTTAATGGGTTGAGATAAGCGACATCTAGGCCCCTCGCAAGGCTAGCTGCTTTGCCATCCCGCAGACAGAAATGAAAGGCTTTACCGCGGGGACATTTGGAGGAACTTTGTTTGGGGCGGAGGGGGGTGGTCGTGGGGGCCCCTGGCCCAGGGAGGGGAGCGTGCAGGGAGCTGAGGAGGAGCCCTCCTGGCCTCCCAGGGCCCAGGGGTCTGATCGGTCAGTGCAGCCCCCTGACAGTGGCTGCTGGCGCCCTAGAAGTCCTCTCCCCAAGTCAGCTGAGCGCCCGCCACCGAGCTGCCCGAGCCCCGGGCTGGGCCGGCCCAGCGGAGCCAGGCGCCCTGCTGCCCCCCAGGGCCCGGCCGTCCGGGTGGGAAACTTCCCTCAAAATGGCTGCTGGAGCTGCTGGGGTTTTATCCTCAGCAAATGTCACCAATTTCTCCGGCCAGAGCTGCTGCACCGCCCCTCGGATACTGTCCGGGGCTCAGGGCCTGCGACTGGGGCGCCCCAGGAGGAAGGGGAGGTGAGCAGTCACCTGCGGGCGCTGGGGCCGGCGGAGCGCAGGGGACAGGGTGGGGGGGTCCCCGGCCTCCTGCCCCTCCGCCGCCGCCCCGGGGCGCCCCTCTCCCCCACCCCGGGACTAACCATTGTGTTGTTGGCGACTGTTGTCTTCTCTTGCAGACACCCCCTCTTCCCTCTCTTAGCACTGATTTTCGAGAAATGTGAATTAGCTACTTGTACCCCCCGCGAGCCGGGGGTGGCGGGCGGGGACGTCTGCTCGTCCGAGTCGTTCAATGAAGACATAGCCGTGTTCGCCAAACAGGTCAGCAAGACGCGCGCTCCAGAAGTAGGGAGCCAAGGGACCCCGGGAGCAACTCCCTCCCTCCCCCTCCCTCCCCTTCCCTCCACCCCCCCAACCCCTGCTGCACCTTTTCCAAAGTGGCCAGCACGCAGGCCACCCCAAGCACCCCCCACCCCAAGCCCTGCCCTGGGGCATCCCCCCAGGTGGGAGCACGCGGCCCGGTCCAGGCCTCCCCCCCTACACCAGCCTCCCCAGCTCAGCTGCCCACCCTCTTGCAGGAAGCTCGCCCCCCACCCCAAAAATTAAATCACGGACCCCGCGCCCCCAGGGTGGGGATGGGGGTGGAGGGCGCAGCCAGGGGCCTGGGCGAGCAGGGCAGCGGCCTCCCGCAGCCGAGCTGCTGGGAGAGGCGACCCGGGGCTCTGGGCTCGGTTTGGGCCTCTTTGATTCACGCTGGCCGCCTGTGGACTCGGTGTCACCCGGTCCCCCGTCCCCCCCACCCCGGAGGTGACATCTTGCCCCCCCTCCACCCCCACCCCTGCGCCGCCCGACAGTGTAATGAGGCAAGAAACTAGGAAGGCGACCAGATTTCAAATGTTCTTTCTTTTACCCCCCCCAACCACCCTGCCCTCCCCTCCCCTCTCCTCCCCTCTCCTCTACTCCTTCTCCCTGGCATTTAGATTCGCGCAGAAAAACCTCTATTTTCTTCTAATCCAGAACTGGATAACTTGGTAAGAGCGGACCCCTCAGTCCCCAGCTCCCCCATCCCTGCTCCCCCCTCCCCCCAAGCACCCCAGCTTTGCTGCAAGAGCCCCCCTCCCTCCACCCAGGTTTCTAGACGGGTCTTCCCGTAGCTGCGAGGTGGCTGCACACGTTTCGGGCCCGGACAAGTGGCCCCGGGACAGGATCCCCGGGAAATAAATAAATTCATCCCGAGAGGGGCCGGGCGAGCCGGCGCTGGGGGGAAACGCGAGCTTTTGTTTTTTATGACAGCCGGGCAGCGCGGCTCTAATCAGCGCGGGGATTTATCTCCGGGCCTGTCAGCGTGTGTGCTTAAACTTTGCGGACTTCCCAGCCCTCAGAGTCGTGCCCCGAGGGCGGCCACAGGCCAAGAGCCCCCCCAAAACCACCCGTGCACCCTAAAGGTGTGCAGAACCGCAGCAGAAAGTTTGCAGCCGCGTGAAAAGCCACACTTAGGGGCGGGGAGGGCAGGGGGGCAGTATTTGGAATATTTTCCGTGCACTGCTTACCTGGAAACCCCAGGCCAGGGATGTGGCCCTTTCAGGTGGGGTGGGGGGCAGTGGGGCTGAGAAGGGGGAAGAGCCATGGGGGAGGAGAGTGTTTATGATCCCCACTTAGATGCTCTGTTGTTGTTTTAGCTATTTTTTTCTCCTTAAGAAATATAAACCTCTAGATGGTACCCAGTCGCTGCTATTAAGTTTTAGTGTTATTGCCATAAATCAAAATAACTCTATTTAACTGGTGTGTGTGTGTGTGTGTGTGTGTGTGCGTGCGCGCGCGCGCGCGCGTGCAGTGTAGGCTGGAGATGCTAGAGCTGTGACAGCCAATTTTCTGCAAACTAGGAATAGGGTGCTCATTCTTTTTGTATCTTTGCAGATGATTCAAGCCATACAAGTATTAAGGTTTCATCTGTTGGAATTAGAGAAGGTAATTCCTCTAGCCTCTTTTCCTTTGACTTTCTCCTCAACCCCCAAACTTGAGGGGGGTGGGGTAGGGTGGGGGGGGGGGCAGGGTTCTGAATGGCTGAAGTTCAGGCTTCTGAGACATTTGCATAAATGTCTTTCTTTCTGGTAATTAGTGTCAAGGCCAATCTTAGCGTCCATTTCTCTTTGCAGTTTAATTACAATTTCAGCCACTAAAACCGGCATCTCAAATGCCCTCGCCTTGCATTCATTCTTAATACTTTGCTGGCTTTGTATAAATAGTTACAATTCTAGGCATCTCTCTTGATGTTTAGAATGCTGTTGTGAGTTCGCTTCACAGGTTATACCTTTGTGATCTCTTCTCTTCCCCTTCCCCCTTTTCTTTGCTACCTCTGGGTGGGTGGGTGGGTGGGTGGGGGAGTTTTGTTTAGTTTTAGTGAGTTTCTGGAAGACAGTCTGAGAGCAGCGGCAGGTCAGACACAGAGGAGAGGCGGAGGGAGGAGGAGTGGGCAGGGAGTCTGGAGGAGGTGGTGGGGGAGGCACATTAAACCTTTTGCAGAGACAAAGCAGAGTTGATAGTTGTGTCAATTTCTCGAATCTGTGAATCCTGCACACACCCCACCTTCACACTCAAGAAAGGGTGTGGGATAACATGATTTTGCTAGCTGTTCTATAAATCTCAGCAATAAAAACTTAATGCATTGTAATTCAAACTAACATTAAATTGCAAGCACACTGGGGTTTCTTGTGAGTTTTTGCATGTCAGGGATGCCCTAGGCCTGTAAGAGACCGCTCCACTTACACCTAAATATTTTGAAGCATTCTTTTTTCCTTTTATTTTTTTTAAATACAGTTTGATCCTTTTTTTTTTCTTTTGTGGCTGTAGGTGTTTTTCATATCATGAGTACCGGCAAGTTGATTTTCTCCTATTTTTTTAAACTATCCTAAAATATGCTTCTTATGTGTAGAATCCCTAATTACAAATATTATAGGGACCTGGGCTGTCAGACAGATATTCTGTGCCACCACAGTACTGGTCCCTGTGAAAATGTGAATTATAGGCATACATCTATATTCACATTTTCCCTTAGACTCATTGGAAAAGAACTTATGATAAAGTAAGTGGATGAAATTAAATAGTTTACCTTAAATGTCACCCACGCGGGTCACCTCTCTAATGGCCACAGCCCTGGGAGCAGATGAATTTAACACGGGTGTTGAATATGTTGTAGCCTGTGAATCATCTTGTCACTGTCAATTTTCTGGGATATCTCTATTTTGCAAGAAAAGAAAGTTATTCCTAATTCTGGATGCGTCTGGGGGTCTCTGGAGGACAATTGCTCTGTGTTTCCCTATTTGGAAGTTTGGATCTCACAAGGGGGGTGGTTTGCACTTGTCAATGTCATTTATGCACTCCTGATTATATTTCCATTTTTTTATTTCTGTCATAATGTAGGTACACGAATTATGTGACAATTTCTGCCACCGGTATATTAGCTGTTTGAAAGGGAAAATGCCTATCGATTTGGTGATAGACGATAGAGAAGGAGGATCAAAATCAGACAGTGAAGATATAACAAGATCAGCAAATCTAACCGACCAGGTATGCGCTTTTCAATTTCAACGTCCCTAGGAAAAAAAAAAATCTGTATGCATATTGCTTGCTGGGTCACTACCACCTCCTTTTATTATTTGCATATGATTAAGTCCCTTTTAGATACATTTCCATCGAAATGAAAATTTTTGAATAATGTGGCTATTATTGCTTCATTAAGGCTGGCTCTGGGATTCGACCTGGAGAGATGAGCTTGTAAAAGCTTTGCCTGCAAACTTGACCTGTTTCTTGTCGCTTTTAATTTTTGTCTTTATTTTATTTACCCTCTATAATAATGGGAGTGTTAACTGCCAGTGACCGCCTCTGATTGTAGGGCTTTGTTCTGGAGCATTTTTTCCCCCTTCTATTTCGAAGAAAAGAAAAGTGTAGGGTCTGCTTATTTCTTATTTTATTAGGAATAAACCCAAGATAGGTGGTCTAAGAGAGACAGCGAGGGTTTGAAATCTAGCAAATGCTGGCTATTTTCTCCCTGTCTGTACGGTTCATTAGCCTGTCTTGTCAGTTTTCCTCGGCCGAACGCTTCTAGACCTCACTGAACATTGCTTTGTGCAGTGCTCGCTGCAAGCTCGCCCATTTTATTGTACTTAATAGAAAAAATAAGACCAGGCCGAGGTTATAAAAACAGATAAATATGGACGTTTCTCCTCCTCCTTGCCACTCATTCTCCAGCTGGTACGTGCACTGGGCCCTCTGGGTTGGCAGCTTTTGGAAGTGTCAGCGTCAGGGGCACCCCGGCGACTCCCTTGGTGTGGCAGTGGGGGACCTCGCGCCGCCTTGGCTCTCAACTGCCGGCCTTTGCTCGCTTCGCCCCCTCCTCTCTGGTCCTCCCTCCAGGCCCTTCTTCCGCTGCGTTGCTAAGTGGGGACGACTTTTATTTAGAGTTGCTGGGGGGATTTCTCTCCCTCTCTCACCCTAACACCGCTGTTTGCTCCCAGTATCTCTCCCTCTCTCCCACCCTCCCTCCCTCCCTTTCTCTCTCTCTCTCTGTCTCTCTGTCTCTCTCTCTCTCTCTCCCTCCCCTGTCGCTGCGTCTCTGGATTGGCCCAAAGAAGTTGCAAAAAGGCAATGAAAGTGAAAACCTGAGGAGCGGGTGGGATGAACCGGGCTCAGGACAGCTCTCCGCAGCGAATTGCTGCAAGGCGAATAGAGACTTGGGTTGCGGGTCTCTCTGGCCTCTCCCTACAGGAGCGAAGGCCTAGGGTTGTTTCTCTTTCTGACTCGGCACGTGAGTTCCGTCTTGGGGGGAGAGATCAGCCTGCCTTTGTTAAGCCAGAAGACAGCCAGGCCGGCAGAGTTTTCCTTTGCAAGCCCTGCCCTGATCACTGTTGGCTGGCGGCTGTCTTGTGGAGGGCTCGCAGGAGGGCCCGGCTCCTGGGTCTTGGTGTCATCCTAAAAGTTTTCTTGTCTCAACATCACCCTCTTAAAATACATTCCCAGCTTGGATTTCTCTCGGTAATCCCGCGACAGAGGCCGAATCCTTCCTTTCCCCCAGAGCGGTGGGAGGCAGGCAGAGCCGAGCTTTAAAAACACCAGCGCGCTGGTTCTTTGCTATGATTTGGCAAGTTGCAAACTTTCGGCAGTGTAGACGGGTGCACGGGCCGGGCGGTCGGCGCAGCCCCTGTGCGGCCCGGCTGAGGTGGGAAAGCTGCGGGCGGCCCGGCCCGGCCCCGGCCCGGCCCTGCGGGCTGCCGGCCTCCCTCCCGCCCGGCTCACCCGCCAGCCCTCGCCCCGGAGCTGTTCAATGCAGATTCCGCCGAGGAACCCTCGGGTAGCTGCTGTTGAATAAAAATTGTAATCCAACAAGACTAACTAGAAAATGGGATTCTAAGAGCTCCGGAGTGCTGGGTACATAAAGCTATTTGAGCAAATTACAAGAATCGCTTAGGGGCACGAAAGAAATCAACACTTTAATTGCCTCCAAAATGAAGATTTATACCCCATTTTCTCAACGAATCATTATTTTATTAAAGTCAAAGATAAAGGACCAAAGCTATGGGTTTTATTTGGGGAGGGGGGCGGGCGACACACACACATACACACAAAACTGATATCCCGCCCATTGAGTTTTCCCTCTGCTCCTGCGGGGAAACTTTGGTCGCTCGGCCACCTTATTCTGAGCTGGGCAGGCTGGTAGGCAACTGCGTGGATGGAAGTTCGCATCCGGCCCTCCTCCGCCGCCCCCTACAAAGGGAGAGGTGCCCGGCCCGCCCCCACGGCCAGCTGGTGGGCTTCGCAGCTCCGGCCGAGCTCGTGGCGCTGTAGGCCCAGGCTCGTGGGCGCCTCGGGTGACCCCTGCAGCCCCGCTGGGGCTCGGCCGGGAGGGCCCCAATCCCAAGGTCGTCCTTCCCGATGGCGCGATTCCCGGGAGCCAGGAGCCCGCGGGCCTGGCCTCTCTCTGTACCTGGGAGCGCAGAGCGCGGGGAACCCAGCCCCGGACCCAGAGAGGGGTCCCCTGCTCTGGGAGGGGTGTGGGGGAGCACAGAGAGGCCGGGCAACCAGGGCCTCCCGCTGGGCACCAGTTTGCAGGTCCCTGGGGGGCGCTGGACCCCCCCTCCCCCCCCAAGCTCGGGGCCTGGCCACCTGTCTGCGAATGCGGCCCGGCCAGTTTGCACCCCTGCAGAGGGTGCGCTCGGGGACTGGATGCTTCAGGTGTGGTGCGAGCACCGGTCCTCGTTAGCTCATTAACCCCGCTGTCTCTAGGGCCTGCTGGCGGCACGGTGTATTTTATTTTACTTTTATCCTGGGAGGGCGCAAAGGCTGCCACCGGCGCTGGGACCTAGGATCCACGACTTTGATACCCGCCGGTTTCCCGGAGGGCTAAGTCGGTGGATACCCATGTGGCCTTGTAGTGATGCTTGCTTTTCTTTCTTTTTTCTTTTTCTTTTTTTTTTAATTTTTATCAGATTAAGACACCAGTAGAAGGCGTAATCTCGTTTATCCCCCTACCTCGGTGTCCCCCTCCACTCCCAGACCCCGAGGAGCCAGGCCTGAGTCCCCTCCCGGGCGCCCTCTCCCGACCGCCTGGCTCCCAGCTCGGCCCCTCACGCTCGTGATGCCCCGGACAGCGGGGGACAGCGAGGGCCTGGGGTGGGGGGGACCGGGGCCTGGGCTGGGGCTGGGGCTGGGAGCCGAGTGGAGAGGAGCAGGGGTGCCTGGCGTCGAGGCAAGGGTTGGGCCGGCTGTCAGTGCGGGAAGGAAGCGGGGACACCTGTTGGGGGGGTTCAGGGTGACACTGGGGGCGTCAGGAGGGGTTAGGCGGCCAAGGGCCTGGCCGCCCAGGCGTTAGACTTTAGGTCCCGCTCCCAGGAGGAGCAGGGAATGGAGTCTTCCTCCCCAGGGCCCTATGCTGCTCGCCACTCCTTGAATCTAAGCATTTTCCACCCCAAGAACCGGTCCGGAGAGTGGGGAGACAGGGGTGAAGAGTCTCGGGGCCCCTAGGCTGCCAAGGAGGTGGGCACGCCTGCTGGGGTGAGCGCACGGACTAGCTGGGCCTGTGCTCGGGCTTCCCACAAGCAGCGGGAGGCAAAAGAAATGGTCCCCTTGGATTACAATTTTTATTCAACAGCAGCTCTCCGGGGGGTCCTCAGCTGAATCTGCATTTAACAGCTCTTGGGCAAGGGCTGACGGGCTGCACAGGGCGCCCTGTTGCATGTTAATCCAGATTTGTGCCTGACATCTGGGGAGAGTAATGTGGCTCAAGGAGATGGAACCAGAAAGCCACGCACGCCAGGCAGGTTAAATGCCAAGTGCTGCTAAACTCCCAGGGGAGGAGGATCGGCCTCCGGGGCTGCGCGGCCCAGGCTGGAGAGCGCCAGGCCCGGGGCCTCGGGGATCCAGGGCAGCCTTGGGCCAGTGAGCTTCGGTTCCCAAGTGGGCTACGAAAACCCTGGTGGCGATTGTTTTATCTTAGATGTTGTTTCTAAAGCATCTTTTGAGTTAAAAATTCTGAAAACTGAACTTGGACTTGACTGAAAACGCCCCCTCCCTGCAAAGTGGGGTAGGGATGCATGCAAGGGAGATTTAAGCTTTCTCTTTTGGGGAGGTGTCATGGTGAGGAACGGGGATGAGAGAGAGGGCAAGGGACAGCCTAGCGTCCTTGATGAATTGAATCTGCTGCTTCAGAAAAAAAATAGATGAGGCCATTGGATATTTACTAATACTAGAAATGCAGGCGATTTGTTTTCATCCAATAAGAAAACTGGCCACAAACAGCAAGAGACAGGAAGAGGGTCCCTTTGTCAGGTAGTTTGTTTCTGAATGCTTACACATGGACACATCTTATTTAAATTGTAAATACTTCACAGGGTCCCAATTAATGCCTTTGTCTTGGAAACTCTCAGTCCACCTCCTGACATCGATGGGGGTCTTAGATTCATCTGACTTTACTTTTTGATTGTTGTAATGGGTCATGTGTTGTACTCTTAATTCCTTTTCTTTTCTTTTTTTTTTTTTTTGAAATATGTGAGGGGAATTTATGGCAAGATTCTCTTTAATGATTAAATAATAAGGTGTTGACTGCTTGTCACTACATTGGCTAATTGGGACGTTCATTCTAGGCCCTGATGGCTTAGTATCCTTGGAATTAAAACTTAGTTGTTTACCAGGTGTGTTTTTATTGTTGCTTTCTGATTGGCTTTGGAAATTTTTAATTCCAGGATAGTTAACATACAGTGTTATATTAGTTTCAGGTGTATGATACAGTGGTTCAACGGTTCCGTACATTACTCAGTGTGCATCAAGGTAAATGTGCGCTTAATCTGATTGGCTCTTAGCGTGTTATCTGTGTGTGAATTTCAGAGTAGGGATGTATTGATTCCTAATAGGGGCACTTAAAGAACATGTTAGGAAAAGCAAGAGAGGGGTATATGCAGATGGGGTGTGATCAATTACGTTGTTAAATATCTGTAAATCTAAATGCTAATAGTACAAAAGTTATCCCCTTTTGGTGGCGCGTCTCTGTCTGTCTGTCTGTCTGTCTCTCTCTCAAG